CCCCAAAACCCCAAAACCCCAAAACCCCAAAACCCCAATGAAGCATATTGTGGTTGAAGTGTGTAAGTGTAAAACTTGAGAAATTGAAAAGAATATCCTCGGAGGCATTTCATTTGTCTTTTTGAAAAATATCATTTATGAACTTTTCAAAAGTTTACATATGTTATTTGTACTCCTAGTTCAATTTAAGAATTTTAGAAAACCTCCTTATAGTACCACCCCTGCAGTTTTGTGTCAGAAATTTGTCACCCCAACCCATCTCTAATAGCCAAAATCTCTCTTCTATAATCAATCCTCCCAAATTCCACTTGCTAAACCCTCCTGAGAACCTAATTATAGTCATTTTCTTCAGAATTCAACAATCTACTCAAATAAGCAAATTAAATACAAAAATAACTTCAATTAAGCCTAATTTTACATAAGTAATCTCTTACCAGGATGTCTTTTAAAACTCTTTCAAACCCATATGCTTTTTAAATCTGGATTCTCAAGATAAAGCTCAGCGTTAATTCTTCCATTTTAGGCATACTTCGTATACTGGCCAGAATGGTTTTTGAGACTGTACTATCTACCGAAATTTCTTGCTGTTCAAGCTATTGAAAATTCTGAGAGTATAGCTGAAGCCAGCCAAGTCAAGCCCAGGGCCTGGATTGGGGCTAAGCGATGTACGATCAAGCAATAGCTAGATTTGGCAAAGTACGGTGAACCTACAATCCCTGGAATCCGCTCACCTGAAAGTCAGATAGACATTATCTGGTGAACTACGTATTTGAAGACTTTTAAAGAAAACAAGTGATTTTCGAGAAATTTCTTATTAATTATTACGTTAAATTGATGATGTTAGTATATCAAGCCAATCAGAATCGAGTCTATTGGCTTAAAGGATTTTCTTTAAGATCTCACATGAAGGAGTCTTCCTGAGATCTCAAAGACGTTTATGCTCTGAGCGAAAGGTACTGGCTGTAACTTTCCTGCCTTTCACTCCTGAACTGATCTCTTGGGAGAGGTTCCCTTTGTGCTCTTCTGGGGCAAAAGAGATTTCTAGCTCTTTCTCGATCGAATCATTCTGGATATTGCGTGCTGAGGAGTGCTTGACAATACGTTTCTCAATGCAGAATTCTGATAAGGAGTCAGGCCTGAGGTGACCCTTGTTATCCTTCAGAGTATTGGTGAACTGCTTAGTCAAGTTAGGAAGCTGAGCAGGCTTGGTGTCACTGCTTTCTTCACTGACAGTCAAATCCCCATCATCCCAAAGAGCAGGATTAGTTTTAGTGAGAGCTGTTAATTTGTCTTGAGTGCTTTCCATTAATTTTTTTAATTTGATTATAACATCAACCTCAGTGCTTTATATAGGGGTTTTGGGGTTTTGGGGTTTTGGGGTTTTGGGG